TATGTTAACGAACGAGACCTTGACCTGTGAAATAGTAGCAAAAGACTGACAACGTCTGTTATTCTCTGTTCAAGCGTTGATTCTTCTCATCATGTAATTTCAATATCCAGAGCCATTTTGCATAATTGAAACATGTCTTAGCGAGCATAGATAGTGCAATGAATTTGTAAGATTTGAAGCTGAGCTGGTTGTACAACGCGCAAAAGTGAATCTTAAAATCTGAATTTTCCTGAGTAATTTGCCTTTATTTAGTTCATTAACTTCAGGAGCATATTCACAAAAAATCGACAAGAAGTACCTAACTGTTTAAAATCATATAATAGCTCTTTCTTTAACCCAAATTAATTAGAGTATTTAGATTTTTCTCCACATTTCCCTTCTAGGAACATTGAGTCAGTGGTTATAACGATGCAATTCTCTCTTTTTATTGCACTGTGCTACTTTTGCGAAATTTTCTCTCAAGAATGCAAAAAGGATGAGCATGCAATTCTGGGTATGATGCTTCGAAGACACACTTTTAAAACGATAAAATCATCAAATGCTGCTGAATGTAATCAGGCATGTAATGATGATTTCCGATGTCACAGCTTCAACTACGTCATTCGAGAGGAACTATGTGAACTAAACAACCGGACTAAGGAGGCCAGACCGGAGAACTTTGTGGCAAATTCTGAAAGATATTATGTAAAGAGTAATATGAGAAGTGGTGAGTTTTAATCATGGAAAGCCCGTAGACTGAGATTGTTAAAAGTAAAACCATAAATGAATGACATGAATTTGCTCTGAGTTTATACCTGCAAGGCCAAACTACTTTCCACATTGAAGCCAGAGAGCATTCTCCGACCCGATTTCGAAGGTCGGAAGGCAACGTTGTCGTTTTGATATTCATTTTTGGACATTTTATTCAGCATTTTTTCTCATATTTGTTTATGCATCCAAGCTCCATCGAGAAGCACAGTAGAAAACAATTATTTTTTTTTCTCTTTTCCACCTGCACACTGAAACAGGTGAAGCAAAGTAGTTAGAACAGGCGAACGGACAGTTCCCCCACTGATGACGGACATAACTTCAAAACTTCCATATACTTGAGTAGATACATAGGTTTAGTTTTACTGTTAGTGGGAAAATGCACCAGTAGAATTGTTCATTGATGAAAATATTTTCCGTCGCCAGTACCTATCGGCTCCATTCCTGAATTTCCAGCGGAAACATGCGAAGAGATACTCGCGAGCGAAATGGGAAAAGCGACCAGTGGCGAGTACTGGCTTTATTCTGTTCTAACGGGAAAAACAATTCTCGTTTCTTGCAATATGGAAAGGGGTAAGAGAGCTCAGGGCTTCGTCGCTGTTTCAATAGATATAAATGTGATGAAATTGATTTAAACATTTTAATTCTGATAATGTACATCTAGGGCCAGTGATGATATTGTACATTTTATGTTGCCCCTCAATGAAATCCCTAACACAACCATTATGTACGGCGGTAAATATTATTTACATCTCTCCTTTGCACATGGCTGTATTCATTCATTTACAATAGTTGGGGCCATTTTTTTTCCTTTGAAATGAGATTTTTGACCTGTCAAAGTGTTGATGACCGAGTAGAATCTGTTAATATGAATTTAAGATACCTATTATCCATATTTTATAAATGGCGTGGCTCTTCAATTTCAATGTCGTAAAAACATTTCTCGATTTCGGTCCCACCTAAAGATCTGTGAAATCAGTGTGCGTGAATGGGTAAAGATGAAATCGCAAGTCCAAGAAAGAAATCCTCTTTGTAAGAACAAGAACAATTCCGGAAAAGAAGAGCGAAAAATGTCGTTGAAACAGACTAGGGCTCGTGGTTTGAGCAAGTTTCGCTGCTCGCACTCGATCGAAAAGTTGTACCACTATTTTTAAGCTGTATGAAACTTGAAATCTGCGATAACCGGGGTTCAACAAGATCTCTCTCTGCGAAGCATGTATTTGTTTATGTCTTCTAGGCCTTTGTGGGTATCCTCTGTTTTTATCGGTTGACAGGATGTTAACACAGCTTAACATATGGTCGCCGATTGGAGTAAAAAGGCGTTGATTATTGCTTAACTTTGGAAGCAGAAATACCTACTGCATTTTTATGCTAATGTGTCCCTTTTCAATGAATTATTCGGGTGTGAAGATGCAACGGATTTCCTCGAAATTTGCTGGTCGTAAATCTCTTGGTGATGGAAGACTTTGTTGACTAACTTGTTGTTTTTAATAAGTCGATGTCAATTTGTATTTTTCATGGATTCTCCATCCTCATCCGTTAAACAGGTGTTGCAATGATTGCACAATCTAATTCTTGTTATCTGTTTTTATACAGAGGTTAATTTTACAGTCGGTAAAGGAAGTGGACGCTTTGGCAGTATACAGACGTTCACTGTTCCACGAACTTCCCGCTATCTCATCAAAGCCCGGGGGGCTCGGGGAGGAATACATTCGTACAACTACGGAGATAGTCCAGGAACATATTATGGTGGAAAGGGAGCTTTTGTAGAAGGCAAGTTCAGACTGAATAAAGGAACAGCGTTAAATATTGTGGTGGGACAAAGAGGAGGAGATTCGGTGGAGGTTAAGGGCGGACAAAGCACTAGCCAGACTGCAGCTCAGCTTGGAAAATCTGTGGAGGACAATGCTGGCACTGGAGGAGGAGGAGGAAGTTTTGTTTATACTACAGATGATATGCTGTTGCTCGCTGCTGGAGGTGGAGGGGGTGCATCGGGTGGATATAATGGTGTGGATGGTCAGGCAGGTTTAGGTGGCACCAGTAGTGTGGGGAAAGTATCGTCACGAACACGAAATGGAGGTACAGGTGGGCAGCCAGGTGAATGCAACAGTAAGGGAGCTAGCTACCACGAAGGAGTAGGTGCGGGTTGGTTTGGTGAAGGTTATGCTCGACGTGGCTCCTCCCACGGGGAAAGAGGAGGATCACGGGCTGAAGGCTGGGTTGGAGGTAAAGCCGGAAGTATGAATAGTGATAATAACGGAGGCCCTGCACCAGGAGCAGTTGGAGGGTTTGGTGTTGGTCGAGGGGGATCAGAGGATAATGGCGCATCAGGCGGAGGTGGGGGATATCCCGGGGGAGGCAGTGGTACCCATGAAAAACAAGCCGGAGGGGGAGGAGGCTCCTATTGTAATGGCGAAGATTGTTTCAGTTTGACTGGTGAGAACTCGAATGATGATGGTGTTGTCCAAATTTTGGAATTGCTGAGCTGATTTCAAAGCCATGACCATCACATTTGGTTTTCTAACACACATTCNGGGACAAAGAGGAGGAGATTCGGTGGAGGTTAAGGGCGGACAAAGCACTAGCCAGACTGCAGCTCAGCTTGGAAAATCTGTGGAGGACAATGCTGGCACTGGAGGAGGAGGAGGAAGTTTTGTTTATACTACAGATGATATGCTGTTGCTCGCTGCTGGAGGTGGAGGGGGTGCATCGGGTGGATATAATGGTGTGGATGGTCAGGCAGGTTTAGGTGGCACCAGTAGTGTGGGGAAAGTATCGTCACGAACACGAAATGGAGGTACAGGTGGGCAGCCAGGTGAATGCAACCGTGAGGGAGCTAGCTACCACGGAGGAGTGGGTGCGGGTTGGTTTGGTCAAGGTTGTGCTCGACATGGCTCCTCCCACGGGGAAAGAGGAGGATCACGGGCTGAAGGCTGGGTTGGAGGTAAAGCCGGAAGTATGAATAGTGGTAATAACGGAGGCCCTGCACCAGGAGCAGTTGGAGGGTTTGGTGGTGGTGGAGGGGGATCAGAGGATAATGGCGCTTCAGGCGGAGGTGGGGGATATTCCGGGGGAGGCAGTGGTACCCATGAAAAACAAGCCGGAGGGGGAGGAGGCTCCTATTGTAATGGCGAAGATTGTTTCAGTTTGACTGGTGAGAACTCGAATGATGATGGTGTTGTCCAAATTTTGGAATTGCTGAGCTGATTTCAAAGCCATGACCATCACATTTGGTTTTCTAACACACATTCCTTGTGTTTCAACAAATGTTTTTCTTAGTTTTAATTGCACGTTTTTATGTCTATCCCAGTGTAGTTCCTAGCTTTTTTTTTCTATCGCATTCTAAATCATATTGAGTTGAACGCTATTTTAGTACAGGAAAAGTAGAACACCAAAATACGTATTCTGATGATTGAGAATGATGAAAGAGATAGCAAGAATTCTTACCTTATGGCCAAGCTTTTGAAAGATTATCGTTTTTATTAGTTTTTTTTTTCTTTTCGGTAAATTAAGCTTTGGTGTGTTCTGCTTTATTTTGCGATATTGCGGTATTTAATTATTTACCTACTTTATTTCTTTTTGGCGGTATTGCAACCCCCCTCCCCTTAATGTCTCCTTAATTAAGTTAGCGTTTTGTTTCTTTTTTTTTTAATTATTATTACTTCCCTTCAATTTATAGTCTGTTAGCCTTTTGGTACTTTTCGGGTAAGATAAAAAATTAATTATTTCGTCTTTAATAAACCTTTCAGAGTGAGTTTATTAGCGTTCCCAAGGGTCAATCTGAGGTGACCTAATTCGATTTCTTACATTCAGATAGCAGATAGATACTGTTTATTGTTATTTCATAGGACATTTGAAGCAAATTAACACAACCCGCATATAGCATTAGCTAGACTTGGTGGGTATAAGTAATAAATAAGTAAATAAGTAGATACTACACATTGCAAGCTAAAGAGATTTCATTACCACAATTAGCTAAGGAGATTCTAAAATAAGCTAAAGAGATTGCAACCTGAGGAAATAAACTATTAAACATTTAGCAAATGTTACCCTTATAATGATAAAAAAGGGAAAAATAAGTTGCTCGAACCGATCAAACAAATCAATTTGCTTACAAATACCTGTAGCTAGTGTGTATGCAGTCAAGTACGTACAGTAGGGCAAGATTAGGAGGTAAATTATAACCGAGCAGGACCGTAGAAAATTAGAATCGACTGTCACACTCTACCTTGCTAAACAGAAACATTCAGTCGCCATTCACTTGAACATCAAGCCTACAAACACCATCTTAGAGTCCTATGAACATCGCTAGAATGTCTACACTAGTTATTAAACTTCAATTGCTCCAACACAAACGGTCAGACGTACGCATTAGAGAGCTTAAGCATCAGACGTTTTTGATGTCACGGACGTCAGAATACCGGGGGAGACTGGATCGACAACGGCGTTTTAGGCGCGAAATTTTTTACTTAAGCTGGACACATGCGTCACCACGAACGTTACAGCTGATTACAGCTGTCACGTTTTTGGTCATTGTTTACAAAGGAAATGTGGCCGTAATTTGCAACATGCCGTATTTAAGGGATGTGAGAAAATCACTTTTAATCGCTCATGACCAAGGACTGGTGTCAGATGAGGAACTGTTGCTATTACTGAAAGAGAATTCGTCAAAAAAACCCTGAGTTTTCGTACGAAAAATACGCGAGGTTTAGTATCGAGAGTATCGAGGAACCTGAGTGCAAGTCCGAGTTTAGAGTTGAAAAAAAGGACCTTCCACTGCTGGCTGATGCGCTTCGACTACCGGACACCTTCCACTGTAATCAGAGAACCACTGCCGACAAGTTAGAGGGGCTATGTATTTTGCTCAGGCGAATGTCGTTTCCTTGCCGATATAGCGACATGCTCGCACGATTCGGCCGACCGGTTCCTGAACTTAGCATGATATCAAATACGGTGATGAATTATATTTACGATATACATGGTCACAAACTGTGTCAGTGGAATCATGATCTACTGAATCCACGTGACTTCAACACCTACACGGATGCTATATCGAATAAAGGGGCTGCACTACAAAACGTAACGATCTTGCACTGATCNGTGCTACGTCGTGCTGTTCAGACCATTCCATAGGCCCACTACATAAAAGAAAAAAGATAGAAGCGAGTGTTACTGTAGGTAGTAGCTGTATAAAATAGTCGATCACATTTCAGCACTAAAAATAAAAAGCTTAATGGCGGGGAAATTAATGCACTTTCTTGAACGTGAAATACGGCAACGACATAAACCTCTCGACAAAAAGAAAACAACTAATAACAAAAACAAACACATGGCAAGATAACTTGCTATTATATAAGTATTTTTCCTGTTCTGGAAAAAACCTCTGCTCGTAGGATAACTAAAAGAATGGCGACAAACAAAAAAGAATTCACGATCAAACAAAACCAAGTAACAGAACCTGCGGAAACTTGTGCCAAACACGAAGTTAGGCACATTTTGTCCCATTTTTAAAAGTTATTGTTTAAGTGCAGATAAAAAACTACTTTCTTATGAAACCTACAATGTACTTACGGGTTTGATTTGACGATTGAAAATGAAGACATGGTGTCAGTCTTGTACTGAGACAGTCCTGAAACAGAGCAAAACAACACGCACGGCAAACATCCCAGTTTCACGTCTGCGACCTCACGTCAAAAACGTCTGCACATGCGTACTGATTGCGAAGCTCATATTTAAACTTCCGGTTGACGTCCGTGAATCAAAAACGTCCAATGCTTAAGCTCTCTATTATTTGTTTTTTACAGCGGCAGCAGAGAGGAGGCGACGAAGTACATTTAATTTGGCCCACGTATGAAATTCAAACAAAGATTTTAGTCACTGTTCGAAAGAAGCGTTAAAAGGTGCAGGCTTAGATAGGATCCAACCCGTGTCTCAGATACTACTCAGGTACCTCTACCATCTGAGCTATGAAGCGAACATCGGAAGTGGGAGGCAAAGCCTGGGTCCAGTTGTTGAAAAAGCGGATAACGCCCTCCAACGGACAATTGCAAATCTCTATCCGACGGAATGAAAAACGTATAGCGTTATTCACTGGATAGAGTTTTATCCAGTGGATAGCGGCATCCAAATTACGAACAACCGGGACCTAAAAGACTAACCCACTCATAGTTCTATCTTTTTGCGGTAGTTTCCTATAAACGTACTTGAAACACTTTCAAATTTCAGGACTTGTACAAGGTGATCATTAAACGATCATCTTCTGCCATTCAACGATCATCAGTTGCACCTTGCAATCATTGCAAGGCGTAACTGGATGAATAACGCAATGCAATAAAGCAAATGGAAATAAAAGTATTTTAGCCTTTGCGTGTACACTGTAAGTGCTGTTTGTGTTTAAACCTACTTGTCCTCAAATTATGAACTGTTTGTATACGGCCAGTCATCCAATTTAAGGATGACTTTTTTTTTTTACTAGACTGGTCTAGTTAAGTTTTGTTTTCGTTTTTGTTTATATGTGCACGCGTGTGTGTGTGCGTGCGTGCATGTGTGTGTATGTGTGTGTATGTGCGTGCGTGTGTGTATGTGCGTGCGTGTGTGTATGTGCGTGCGTGTGTGTATGTGTGTGTATGTTTGTGTCTTTCCTTTTTTTTTCTGTTTACTAATCCCCACTTGAGGTTTCCCTAATCCAAATGCAACCTTGATAAAAGATTCCAAGTGGCGACTTTGCACTCAGTAATTAATTAAAAGCCACAAGCGTTAGTTTCTGGCAGGTTGGTACTTTTATGTAATGCCTTAAGAGTGGTCGTCTGTAAAAATCGAGGAGAGGTGTTGAAAATAAAAAAAACTAAATTTGAAATTTTTTCAGGCTTTGCCGGAACATAGATATGAATGGCCATAATTACGGAAAAATATTAAAAGTGCGGAAAAAAAAACTATTTGCGCGAACAGTGACATTTTATGGATGAAGGGTTCGTAGCCGTATTTAAGCTCAAGAAGCCCATCACGTGACCAACGTGACTTGCAAGTCATATTAATGGGCTTCCTGTGTGTAACGCAATCATACCATCGATTGCACTGCAGTGGCGAGAGATGGTACCGCCGATAAGTTTTGAAAACGGTGGAGCGGGTTAAAGTGCATACTCATAGCATGAAAATCACTTCTTAAGGTGAAATTTTGTATAACTATAGCCTGGGCAATTCCCTCTGATTTTAACAAAGTTTTTTTGCTATTGTTGCGTTGATATTAGTTGAAAATATGGCCGTTGTAACAACATAAACCAGCAATTTGCATATACTATCGAAAATGGCCAGATTGGCTTGACTTTTTGGCTTCAGGAGAAAGTTATATTTATGTTGAATTTGAAAGAGAACCGTTTCGATGTTTTTGTATGATATAAGAAGAAATTCGATTGTTTTGGTACTGTTTTTCTTAATGTGAGGTGCAAGTTACGTTGGTCACGTAATGCACCTCGAGCTCAAATACGTGTATATAAATCGCTCTAAAAATTCGTAGCTAAAGTAGCCCAGAAATTTTACTGCAATTTCTGAAAGAAAAACCTTGTTTTTGACAATGGTTATTGTCTTAGTTTATAGAGCCATTTAACAATGGCCGATTTTAGTCGCCAAAGTTGAGCTTTGTTTTGTTGAGAGAAACTTTACCTGAATTAGAATATTCGTTAAAAAAAATCGTTTTTAAGGAATCTTAGAAAAAAACACTTTAGAACCTTTGAAAAACATCTCTTGTTTTAGAATTGTTATGTGGTAGAATTGTTATGTCGAATTGCTGGCGAAATATGTTTTTATCGGCCGTTACCTTGAAGTGCACTATTTCACCGGGAGCCGCTTGACCTCCAAACCAAACGTCATCCATCATAATTTGAAGATTAAATGAGACTTACCTGTAAGTTGAAGTTTGATGTGAATTCTACCGATTCATAGTCAGGAACAGAGGAATCACGTAAGATTGCGCGACCAAGCCAGATCAGTATTGAACAGTGAATGAGCACAGGAAAAGGATAGGGTGGGGACAAGTCAAATATATATATATAAATTTGTCCTGTATGTAAATACACATGTTGGGTGGGCACGTGTCTCCTCTGTTCCTGACTATGAATTAGTAGAATTAACATCAAACTTCAACTTGCAGGCAAGCCTCGTTTAATCTTTAAATTCTACCTCATCATAGTCTACGTCACACAGGAATCACG